GTTGTTAATTGTTCACTGGTGGACATAAGCCTCCCCCTATGGGGTTTTGCCAGTAGTTGCCACGCTTGGCAGGCGGGTTGGCAACCGCAGTCAGGTTTAAGAGATATTTTAAGAGGGACGCTGCTGTCTATCCCTCGCCCTCCCTTAGTTGGCTCTTACGACACCCACATGAAAGGAAGGGGTAGCCTATTCTATACTGGGACCTCACGGCCCTATATCTATATATATACTGGAAACTATCATGGTAATTCCTGACGAATTCATCATGATTGGCTAACTGGCCTGTTTTCATTCTCATCTATCACCCTTCACTGGTGCTCCGCCAGCGTATCCCGTTAGCGCAGGCAGGGTTACCATTCCATTTTCACCCATCAAAAAAATAATAAGCTTTTCTCTATTGGGGGGATTTCGCCAGTAATTACCACGCTTGGCTGGCGGGTTGGCAGTCGCAGTTAGGCCTTAGAGATTTTATAAGAGGACTCTGCTGCCTATCCCTTGAATGTTAAGTTCCCTTAGTTGCCTTTTATAACATCCACGGGAAAAGAAGGCATATATTCTATAATTTAATTAAATTATTGAAAATATGAGGTAAAAAATGTCTTATTATTATTTATTTATTAAAAAATTACTATTTCTAAGAATAACTTCTTTTATGAACCTTTTTTTTTTATACAACTTAGAATGGCAAACAAGCTGACGGCCCACCTGATGAAAAGTGGTAACCGTCGCCTATAGACATGAGCAGTACCATGAACATAACAGAGTATACTGTTTCGCCCATGATACCCCCCATACCTACTTCAAGAAGAAGGAGATTTTCATTTCGGTTGTATTTTTTTTTGTTACCTCATAACTCCATCAGTTCTAAACCGATTTAGATTTTTTTTAATAGAAATTTTATCAACACCAATTAAGTAGTTTTTAAATGAAAATAACAGAATTGAACTCGTTTTTAATTAAATAATTTATTTCACTTCCTACGCTGTGAACACTTAAATCTTTCTAAATAAATTTATCAAATTTAGAAGTACTTCTTAATTCTCGCCCTAAAAAAAAATAAATAAATAAATAAAAAATCTCGCCCTGTCGAATAGAATATGCCCAATTTAGTGGAAGATTCATTCGGTATTCTGAATAGAGTTTATCAACAAAAGAGAGTCCTCAAAAAATCAATTTCCGAATATCGGTAAACCGCAGAAGTTCTGTGGATAAAGTTGAATTTCCTAGTCGTACGTTTCGGAAAACTATCCGATTCGTAGGAGTCGAACATTGCTATAGGAAAATCTGGATATGTTTATAAATAAAACAGATTTTTGTATTTAACATTTTTAATCATTTAAGTCTACTTTGCTTATTTAGCAATAAGTTTCTTTTATTTATTTATTCATTTATTCATATGAAACGGTCTAGTGAAGACTGGTCTTTTCCTTGACGAATATTACGTGAATGTATGTATGGTGATCGATTGAGCCTGCATTAGGGTAATCTATTTTTTTTTATTATGGACTAGCGGCCCGTCCCGGCGTCGCACGGGTGGATATTTCTACATTTCAAAAAGTGGCCATTAAGGCTGCACACGCGACGGAAGCTTAAAAATGGAGTAACTTCTCCCGTTTTCCCAACATTTTCCTTCACTGCTCGGCTCCTATTGATCGTAGCGTGATGAAAAGTATACTATAACCTGCCCAGGAGTATGAAGTATAATTGTACAAAGTTTCGTTAAAATCGGTCGAGTAGTTTTTGTTTCTATATCGAACATATAGACAAAAATTTTACTGATTGCATTTTTGGCATCAATATCGATCACTAATCACCCCCTGATAGTTATTTTAGAAATATATTTAATGTACAGAATTGACCTCTCTACAGATTTATTATAAGTATAGATATATAGATAGATGTTATCGGAATGGTAACCAGTGTATCGTGATAAATTCATCAAGAATTAAAATTTTATGTACAGTACATTACTAGCAATGGGACTCCTAGTCCATGTTACTAACAACCCCTTCTCCTATGCTGTGGTTTAATGACTACTGTTTGTATGAAGCAGTCCTGTGTTATAACTGTTATATTACTTACATATATAGGTATATTAACATATTACTGGCAACGCTTAACAGCACTTTAGAGGATCTAAGATCAAATCACATAAAAACTTTGAATTTTAAAATTTATATTTGGAACATATATCCGGTAAATCACGTCAAAGGACTATGTTTAGAACAAATCTATCTGGAATCTCTTGATTTTTTTTTATAGATGATAATGAAATAGTAACGCCACCCGCGTTATCGGTATACACCGACGGGGCACCAGTGAAGGATGATAGATCAGGATGAAGCAGGTCAGTTAGACCATCGAGACGAATTCAACGAAAATTGTTCACAATGGTTTCCAGGGGGAACCACGTGGAGGTTGACCTGATAGGGCATATTGCTAGCAACGGGGCTGTCATACTCCATTGCTAACAATCCCTTCCCCTCCGGAATCTCTTGATTAGGCATAGGTCATATGGATACCGATCCGATATCTATATATTGGGTTCCTCCATTGATTATGGAAAAAAAAATTACTCATTTCGATATCGCTCATATTGATCGGATATATATTTTAGAATATGTTAACAGTTTGTTATCCAATATTATTTTTTGGTATACAGACTTTAACATATTTGTTACCGGACCAGTATATTGTAAATAAAATATAGAAATTGCTATTTATTGCCCACCCCTGCTCTTGATACTAGAGGGCGCCACCCTCATACGAGTAGCAGCAATAGTGACTGTTCTATTAACTTTATTTCTTAGTTGTTGAATTTTATTTCAAATTCGGTTTGCGGTGCTAGCCGTCAACGATGACAGACTATGCTTAAAATGTAAAGTGCATGATCTCTTCAAGATGCAAGAAGTATGGAGAAAATGTTGACATATATTTTAGAGTAAATTTAATATGTTTGTTTTGTAAAATTATCGACTGGAATGGGCCTCTAAGTATGAATAAATTATTTTAGAAACTTTTATGCAATTGGAATGGCATACGAACTGAGGAAGCCCTAATGGAAAGTGGTAATTGGCGCTAACAAACACGAGCAGCACCATGTGTCTCAGAATAAGCTCATAGTGTAATAAACTGAAAACGGGGAGGTCGACCTGGTTGGATATATTGCTAGCAATAGAGCCCTTAGTCTTCATTACTAACAACCCCTTCCCCCTTGTCATCGAAATTACAAAATAATTGTTTTATTTTTTTAATTGAGCTGCGTAGTATTTTTTTTTAATCGATAATAATGGAATGGTAACCCCAGCCGCGCTATCGGTATACACCGGCGGGGCACCAGTGAAGGATGATAGGTGAGGATGAAGCAGGTCAGTTAGCCCATCGTGACGAATTTAACAAGAATTGCTCACGATGGTTTCCAGGGGGAACCACATAGAGGTCGACCTAATAAGGCATATTGCTAGCAATGGGGCTGTCTAACTAAATTGCTATCAATCTCTTTCCCCTCGCTGCGTAGTATATTGAGATATGTTTCTAAGTAAGTTACTTTTATATACGTTATATTTTTGTACATAATACTTCAATGGATACAAGTAAAAATCGGATTAGATTTTTCTCCGTACTCATTTTCCTGGCTTTACACGGAATAGTAATGTGAAAATGTATGGAAGGATTTTTATTTTTTTCTCAACTAATCCTTTTGAGAAGGAACATATTATAGTTTTATGTTATGTCAGTACTAACTTTTGTCCGCGACTTTGTCCGCGTTATCGGGCTATTTACACCAGAAAGGGATAATAACTGCGTCCTTCTTCATCCCATAGTATGTGTATACCAAATTTCATAGAGATTGGTTAAGATCTTAAAAAGTAACAAATATACTTTTTCATATAAAAAGGAAAGATATATATTTATGTATTTTTATGTTTTTACCTGCGACTTCGTGATTCGATCATGATGAATCCATCAGAAATTAATCATGATAGTTTCCAGGGGGAACCGCTATTATTTCTACACATTTCTTCGATACTTCTTCACTATCAGGATAGGCAACACGACGGGACACCAGTAGTATTGCTGGCATCCACAGCATACAATGATCGTTACCATCAGACGGGCTGTATGCTTGTAAAAACACAATAACAAATGTTTTAAATGTCTTATTACTGAGTGTTGTGGGTTTGTTTCCAGGAGGAGGGTTCTATCCTACTACGAGTACTATTACAATAGATCCACTATATTTTTATTGTTATTATTTCAGATGTTAACACTCTTGAACATAAGCCTTGGCCATAGAATTTACAATAAACTACCAAATTCGCTTGCTGATCTGTGTTTGAAAAGGTTTAAAGTCATTCTATGTAAATGGGTAATTACAAAATGTTTCTATATACTGAAAGATTATTTTTCAAGTAAAATGGACGACATTATATAATTCAATTTTGAATGTAGAGTATTGTATTACCTGTAAATGTATGACTTAACGTAAAGGAGTGAAAAATAATAAGATGCATGACGTTAGTAATGTAACTTGTAATTAATAGTAATTGTTAATAACACATATAAAAATGTTGCATGCCAAGCTGGCTGAATGTTAAGGTTACACAAAATGTTTATAAAACAAATGGTTATAATATTATCTAAACTTACCACATTCATCGCAATAAATTTCATTTAATTTCTTTTTTTTTTTTTAATTTATTAATGACCATGGATACAAGTCCTCATTTCATTTCATAAGGAGAGTGTTGCCAGTAGTTGTCACGTTTGGCAGGCGGGTTGCCAACCGTGGTTAGGCTTTGATGATGTTTTAAGAGGGACACTGCTGCCCATTAAGTGCCCTTAGTCGATATGGTATGCTATGGTAAAAATTCTCCATATATGTTTATCAGAATTTCGTAATATTCGTCTTCCTTTTTAACTACGTCATTTTTCTAATAGTTTTGTTAAAACTTTCTCTATTTTTTTTTTATTTCAAGGATTTAAATAAAATACACAGATTATATTTTTAAAAGTTTATTTTCAAAATTGTGAAATTTGTGTTCGTTTGTACTGATAACACATTTTAAGTAAGCAAAGTGTAATAAATAATAGAAGTTAAGGGAAGATGGATTTCGATTGGTTTTAAGTTATTGCCTTCAGATAATAAATGATCGATAGATTTTAGCACCCATTTAAGTAGTTCCTATCTATTTTCACATTTGACTTGTGCTTGCATAATTAATTATGTGAACTAGCTTTTATATTTCGGTATTGACCCATTACCTTCATTGATATTATAGTAGTAATTATTAATTATTTCTTGTGATGTTCCATAACGGAAGTGTTGCCAAATGCGAAATTTTATTACTACCAAAATATGAAAAAAAAATCCCATACTTGATACGATTTCCTTCACTTTGTCCCCATTTTTTTACAGTTATACGTTTATGTGAATGACAAAAAAACGAATGTAAAAAAAATTTAATTACCCAAATTCCTCCACACCCTTTTAATTTTTTAATTAAAAATACCTAATCTGGCAACGCTGCTGCATTTTATCGTTTCAAATGTCAAGATTTATAGGTCATTGTAATTACTACCGATTAGTACCTGTATAATTTATAAAGGTTTAAATTATTTTTATGAAACTGTAATTTAATTAAGTAATAATTAATTTTTAATATTGTCACAATTAATAAAGGTGTATTGCATTACTTAAGTATATTAAATAAAAACGTTTGTCTAAAATAAATACGTTTAAGACAAGCTTATATGCTTGCCCATTTAAGTTTTGATTAAAGTTTTTACATGAATATCAATAATTTAGGTACATTTAATTAATAGGTCAATATCCGAGTAGATTTGAAGCGTATACTGCAAAATATATTTTTATTATGTGAATGAAAATGGGCGATAATATTAATAATCTGAATTTAATTAAATGCGTATGCAGTTGATACTGATTTTACCATAATTAATTAATATTAAATTGGTCCCATCTAAGTACTATTAAATGTGTTATAGACTTACAATACATAAAATACTGCTTATATTTATATATTAAGTATAAAATTAATACTATTAAAACTAAATCTGAAAAATAGCTTAATTCAACGTTATCACTAACTCTTGCCTTTTTCAAAGAAATCACTACTTAATTTTAGTATAATTAAAATTAAGTAATGAAAAATTACAAAATGTATAAAGCTAGTGACTGACCTAAATTTTATTATAAAATGTAACTTTCATAATGAGAATACGAGTATAGATAAAGATGTGAATTATCAATGGTTCGAATCTCAAAAATTAACTACTTAACTATATATCATTAAGCAAATATAGTCAAAATTGAGAATTTGTTTTACCAAATTTATAGATTTCTATTTAAAGTTTGTATTGATGTATTACTTATCAACAAATTTGCCAATTGTAAAATTAATTTATGTTTTTTGCTGAGATTTAATACATGAAATCAGATTCAGTTTTAGTCAGGTTTGAGTTCGCATTTTAACCACTTATGATTGAGGGTCGCCTATGTTCTCGAAACTAGTCGATTTTTAAATTTAAAATATATATAAGATTCGATAATATTACAATTTAGTGATTTTACAATCGACATCTTTCAAAAATAGTTTCAACAACTGAGTCTCTGTGATACTGTTGTAGTTTTCATTATGGAAATTATTGCCAAGGTTGATATTTTATTCAGTCTACTGTAAATTTATCAGGTAGTATCGAATACTATGGCGAATCGAATATTCGCATCGTAACATGTTACATTAAGACCAAAGATGCAAGTCAGTCACCAGTTTTATCTGCATATTTATAAAAACATCAAACGTCTAATAAACCGAATAATATAGCTGTAGATGTGTTTTGTCTTTTTCTTACGCGTTATATTCCCAATGTGAAAAACAGTAACAAAACACTCTAATCGGTTTGCAGAATATTTTAGTTTTTATAAATAAGACGGAGTTTATAAGTTTTTGAACTTCCAGATGTTTACATAATATTATATATATATTTATATTATAAACGTTTTTACATTTTACACCAACTTTTACATGAAGAGTAAACACAATGTAACAAAATCGGAAATAGTATAAAACGTATCTAATTTAGATACTAATATTCATTGATAATCATCATGACTTAGTGGCAGGTAGGTTTTTTAAATCGATGATAATGGAATGATAACCCCGTCTGCGCTGTCGGTATAAGCTGATCGCCTTAAGTATGTTTTAGGGCTATGCCCTCAGACGTTTTTTGTTTGATTACTCATAAAAATGTATAAGTATCAAGTAATAGGTTTGACTACGGAGGCAAATTTATTATTTTTAAATAAATAATATCACGTCTTTATGCGATTTGAAAGTTCAAACATATTTTATTAATATAATTTTTTTTTTTTACATATATTCTCACGCTTCTAATATAACAAAACCATCGCTTCATACCCTGTTTACAAGAAAATCACACAAAATTTTTCTTACTTATTACCTCTAAGACTTTCTTATGTCTATTCAAGGGATCTGCCATTTTAGTCGATGTTTTATCAGAGTGTAATTCCGGTGATTGATTTTTTTTGTAATATAACTAAGTATATTATACATAATACGTTTGGAGATATTAAATATTAATGATATTCATTAAATAGATATAAGAATAATGACAGGCATTCGAGTTAAGTACGTTGTTGATGCGACATAAAGTTACAATTTACTACATGTCTGTAGAACGGCCCCTCTTCAATTCTATTGTAACATCCATAATACAACTTTGTTACAAAAGTTACAATGGCTTATGAAGACCTATTGAGTTGCTGGCAAAAAGAGATAATAAAATGAACGAAGTTCTTGCACATAATGCTGTAACTTAAATTGTTCTCTTTTATGAATGTTTTTGTACGACTTTTATGGTGAATCGTGTAGGTTCCAAAAATCCAAAAATACTTTGTCACATTAATCATATTCATAATGTGTTCCTTTTTTTATCTACTTCTATAAAAAAACATATTTCTAAAAAGAAGTCTTGATGTTTTTATTTACTTTACAATTTTGTTATACAAACATGTATATAAAGTATATGTATATTAAGTCAAGTTCATTATCATAGTCAAGGTCAGCAACATTAGAGAAAATTAATTTATTGCAATATACGACTTAAGCAACAACATTTAAGGTCGAATTGATCGTAACAATGTTTTAGTAATATACACCTATTGCTATTCAGATCAAAGACAATGGGGCCAATGAACTTTGCATTATCAACTTTATATCCGAGCTTTATCAATTAAAATTAAGACTTAATTGAAACAATATAAGGTTATATTTTTATTAATCTGAATTCTAAACACGATTTCCGTATGATTAATTCAATGTGACTGCATTGTAAATTAATATTAATATATTTACTTATATACACATATATTGTACAGATACCTGGTTTACATTTGTATTACTTTTGAAACAATGAGCTTTGAAGCGGACAGCGTAATTTAGTTATACATATATAAATATATATAATCGTGTTATTCAAATTATAAAATATGTAAAAAAGTACATTTGATTCCTCCTCCTCCTTGCCTCATTCAATCAACAATATTATTGTTGCTCGAAGGAGGCTATTTATAAAACAGCACTGTAACCACTAACTGCCTTTAACTCTGCTCTCTCTTTCTCTCATTATTGTAAAAACCAGAAAAATTTTACAATTTATAATATGTAGGTAAGCACCTAAATAAATAACATTTTAACTCACAGTTTTAATACAAAAATATGTATATTTAAACTTTCATATACTTATGTACGTTGCATAATGCAATACTAAATTGACAGAATTGATTTGAAGCAAAATTAATTAATAAATATAAGAAAAGAACACAATAGATAGACACTTTAGAAACAGTTCTATATGTACAATAAGGCGACCTTATTGCTAAAATTAATTTTTTCAAGACAACCTTGAGGTAACGGATTTAATTCATGATCAAGTAGGTATGCAAATAAAGGAAATTACATACAACGAGACTCAAGACTTATTAAACATGCATGTAAACTAAGTAGTGGGTATAGATTGCAATAAAAAAAAAAAAAAAATTAAAATAAAGGAACAATGAAAAAGGGCCTAAGTTCTAAATTTCTCACAACTCATTTTCAACGGGCGATTTTCTTTTCACTCGAGACAACTCCTCGGCTTCTTCGATTGTGTCAGGGAGTCTGACGTTCCTGGTCTCCGGCAGTAGGAGCACCAGTCCACTGGATATGAGGCACATCGCGCCGAATATCACTGTCGGCATCGATTTATGATAGAGAGACTGCAACGAAAAATTTATTTATAAATGAGTCTTAGTATTAAGAAATTATAGTTTTAGATATTAAATATAAGATATTTTTTGGCCATAATTGGATACAAGTGTTCACAGATCGATGTTTATACCTCTTTGATTGCAGTTTGGAAATCACTGACCTAATCAAAAATTCAAGATACTTATTTTCCACAACACAAATTCTCATTTTTATATAAAAGTTATAGGTAACTTTTATACCATTCATTTATGATCAACAACTATAACTTTAATATCGACTAATGAGATTTTCTACCCTTAATTTTAAAGCTCGGTGCCCACTATGCCGTATCATACTACAACTGTAATTATGTCGACGCGTCGCGATATGTTTGAAAAGATTTTTTGCATAGATTATTATAAAGGAACAACATCCACTAGACCCATTCTTCACCAGTCTTCACTGGAGGATCTTTAGCGAGACATGTAGCGCATGGTATAGGAAGGTTGCTAAACTAGTGTCTGCCGGCGGTCTATAATGTAGTGAATCTAAGCATTGCAAAACAAACAGGAAAATACACATACTTTAATAGGTAAGGCATAGTATTGTGACGCGTTGTTAGTTATATAATATTTTGTTGATACATTGCAGAAGTTGCTTTGCAGAATGTCGTTGCTTAGTTTAGTATCCGACGTGGGTCTATTACGGTCATAGTATAGGCATAGTGAGCACAGACCTTAAACCTATTATCCTTTATAAATTTACAAAATAATTTCCGACTAACAAAAAACATTGATGATTTTACAAAGAATTCGAGGCCGATGAAAATAATTAGGTATAACAACATTGTGATTTTGACTAAACGAGTATTAGGTGTCTTTGATGAAATTTGACGTTATAAGATGTCACCCAAAAAAATAATGAGACAAAAACTTGGATCATTAAATTATAAAAGCCTTGCAAAAAGAAACAGATTTTTCCTTATTCTAAAGTTATCATAAGATTAACGACGTTTTAATGGTGTTTTTAACTGAATTATTGTTTCAATTTGCCTAATTATTTTTTTGTCTAGAATGCTAGTTATAACAAACGAGAGACTTATTATAATAAATAATAATAATGTATTTACACATATAAAGAAATAAATATAACTATATTAATTTATATTTGGTATAAACACATAGTTTTTAATGTTGGCCAGATTTGAACTAACATTTTTAGGTCTGTGTACTGTATACATTCTTAATGTGAAAGTGAGTTAGTTGATTACTTCTTAGCGCCTAAATAGCTTAACCAAAGACTACAAAACTTAATACATTCGTACTATATAAGACGCACAACAAATGTTAGGTAAAATGTAAAGTAAATTATGTACAATTACATTGTATGTCCAATAAAGATTTTACAATACAACATAACCCGGTCACACAGACAATACATACATATTTAAATTCCATACTTGTAGTACAGGCGGTTATATATACTTATAAGTATGTTCATATTTCTCATTAAAACTCACTGTATTTATTATTTTTATTAGGACTCAGGTGTTATTCCTCTGTACCCAGTAAATTCACGCCATATCCCACCCTTCAAACCGAAACACAGCCATGCAAACACAACTGCTTCACGGTTGAAACACGAATGGGACAGAGGTATCCAAGCAATAGAAAGAGGTTTGTTTGAATCAAAGCATTTGGCGTTCCATTGTTTCTGCCTACCCTAATGGGAGACAGGCGTGACAGATATGTATGTATGTATCCAAGCAATCGACTTTTGTACAAAGTCTCCCTCTGATTTTATAAATAGTATATTGCACTGAAATATCGTCATAGTCGTAGAATACTGACGGATCTGACAAAGATTACACACACACACACACACACACACACACACACACACACACACACACACACACATATATATATATATATATATATATATATATATATATATATATATATATATATATATATATATCCGTCAGTATTCTACGACTATGACGATATGACTAAATATGAAATATGTTTAAACAGTGGCTGAATGAATGGACCAAAATTGTTAAAAATTGGGTATAATAAGATGACATGGTACTATTGCAAAAGCTAGTATCACACATTTCATTATTACTGACATGTAAAAGACATTACAAAGTTATTACAAAATAAATCTTTATAACAATAAATAAATAAACGAATAAACTAACGAACGAATAAACAAATAAATATATTAGTATAAAATAAGTGAACTTACCAATAGGGGTGTCACTGGGGCTATCAATGAGCCTATCCTTCCAGCAGTGGAACAGAAACTGATCAGAGTCTGCCGCATATTGGTGGGGAAGACCTCTGATACGTAGATGTAAACTGAGCTGTACGCCAGCGTGACACTCCACTTGCCGATCAGGTACAAAGGTATGGACCACCAGTCAGCTGTGCACACCAAACGGTATCTGTTTAGAAAAATCGTCTCAGGTTTGTATGCGCCTAATGGCAACACGGACAACGGTGGCGTAACGTGACAAAAGAAGCAAAAGATTTGCTATTAAAAAATCATTAAACAGTTAAGAAATTATTACTAATTTAAATCTATTTGTACACCAATAACAATAATAAATTTGAACTAAATATCACTAATACTAAATTGTAGTAATATTGCCGTGTGGTTTCAGAATAGAATGGATTACCACTTTCTTTTCGTGGTTTTTTTTTTAATAAGAGGCGACTAGTGATTTAATAATTTAATTTAATAGCCGAAGGATGGGCAGTAGTATCCTTTTTAAAATACCCTAATCCTAACTATCCTACCTATCCTAAGCTTAACTGCGGTTTCTAACCCTACTACAAAGCGTAATTACTACTGGAAAATCTACCCCAAAGGAGAGACTTACGTTTAGCAGTTTAACGCTTGATATGATGTTTACTAACTGAACATTAGTAATTTTAAATTTGAATTAAGTACTACTAAGTACGTATGTAAGTAGTACTAATACTTATATTTAGAATTAAAAATCGCGGGAAAATTAATATGAGATTAATAGACTAAACCGAGTTGAGTATAAATAGAATTATTAAAATGGGATTAGAGTTTGAATTCCAAGGAAATTTGATAGCCTGGTATAGTATAAGCTGAAGTAACATATTCAAACATTTTTATTCTAATTCACGTAAACAAATACGGGGGTTACAGATAGTGTAAAATAAATGTTTATAGAGTAATATTTGTGTCATATCACTAAACTTATAAATATGATATTAAAATATATTTTATGATATGGTGTAAGATATTTTTTAATTACATATTGAGATTATAAACCTTAAATATAGTAGGACAAGGTTTTGAGTGCCTATCAAGTAATGTTTAAAGAATTACTAACTGAACCGATGAACCTTGTTTTGCTCCCTACTAGTTCTATTTTTATGTATATTACAGTAAAAAAAAAAAAAATTATCCACTGCAATATTTATTTATTTATTCATTAAAATAATTATAACATTATGACAGTAAAAAAAAAAAATCAAACCTTAGCGCTTACATAAAGGGGGGAAGAGATTGTTAGTAATGTGGAATACCAATACCATTAACAGGTCGACTTCCACGTGGTCTCCCGTGGAAATCATCGTGCTGAATACCAAGTGTATTCATAACGATGGGCTAACTGATCTGCCTTTTCATTCTCACATATCATCCCTCACTGGTGCCCGGCCAGCGTATACCGTTAGCGCCGGCGGGATTACCATTCTATTATCATGCATTAAAAAAAATTGCTTACATACAAAATTATATTAATGGTATTTAACCCGATTCTAGAAATTTCTGAGCCGCTTCTAATGTCTTTGGCGGGACACTATTAAAAACATTAATGAGGTTACATATTATATATCATTTAATACTTGTACTGCGCGAATTAAGGGAGCGTACTGGAGTAGGTTAGTTCTGACTGACGAGATATTAAACGTAACCGAATGACGGCGCGCGCTAACATAACATTCGGTACTTGCAGTTAGATTGTCTCTAGCACTTCTGAGTCATGCACCCATCCGCGTAACACACTCACAACACATTTTATGAGAGAAAGATTTCTCCTCACTATATAAGACTTTGTTTTAACAAAATTGACTTTAATTGTGACAAAATATGGTTGTTCTGGCTATGACAGTAGATTCTCCGAGTGCAAAAATAATAACTATAAACGGTCCCGAGTTTGTAAAATTTTGAGTAGTTGCTTACAATTAGTTAAGACGTCTCTAAATGTCCTCGAAATTATCAATAAGAATTAACAATTTTATATGATTGATAATTTATTTATTTAAACTACAATGCACGATTATATAAGAAAGTGTACATATGTATATATGTATATGAGGACTTAACACCTAATGGAGTTCTCTCCATTAGGTGTTAAGTCCTCATGGTTAACCAGTCAGCCATGAGGCAAGTAGAAAATTAAGTAGTTATTATCGTGGTCTATTTAAAATTAATCCAATTCAAGTGATTATCAATTGATATTACGTGATTGAAGGCAATTGATAATTTCAATTGAGGTCATTGACAGGTCCAATGAAGGTGTGAATTGTTCGTCGCGTTGTGTCATTGGCTCGGCATTCGATTCGGTCATTTTCAATGTGACTGTTATGCTGAGTGTGAAGTACAGGGCATTTACATTGAGCGTTTTTTTTTAATTAATATCTCATTATTGATAATGTCATATTCTTATATTGCCCCAACTCGGTTCTCATTTCTCGAGATTCCTATCATATATATATATATATATATATATATATATATATATATATATATATATATATATATATATAATTATATATATAAATCATCATCTTCCCCATAAGGGGAATAGTATAAAATTACTCGCAATATTTCTAATTTCCTTTGAGAATGAAAAGATCAGATGTACATTTAAACAGTTATTTAAAGTGCGCGTAAATTTTTAATCTTAAATTTGATTTAAAAGAGTTTTAATTGACATCGGCTTTATTTTGATTCGATTCATTCCTTCTTCATCGTGGGTGTCGTAAGAGGCAATTAAAGGATGATCGAGGGACGGGCAGCATCTTCCCTCTTGAAATATCACCCAAAATACGATAAAAAAATAACTGCGTTTGCTAAGTATGTAAAGTCTGTATGTATGTCTCGTTTCATGCGAGACGAGACACTTTGATGCAAAGCGCTGTACTTCCTTTGAAGAAGACTTCCGGATTAAGTCGAAACAATTGTCATAAATTACAAACATAGTAAGTTCATAAAATTTCCGTTATAATTCTATCTACCCGTGCCAAGTCGGGCCGGATTACTAGTATATAATATAGCGTCCAATAAACCGGATACAAATTTTTAAATTCCTATAAAGTAGGCCAGGGTTGTTTGTTTAAGCGATGTCGACTTATTTTTATGGTAGGCGCCTCTAATAAAGTACCGGTGTATCCAGTTTGATGCGGTATCAACCAGTTTGCGTTCTTTTTACCTTCGTCATAAGTCATACAAGTGCTAGGGAAATATGTTTTTCTTTTTATGAATCGACTTCAAAAAGTATTATACTTTGCTATTTCACAGTATTAGTACATGTACGTGATATTTTTGTCAATTTTGAACCTATATATTATATACTATGTATTTATTTATTATATAAGTTTATTCATCTCAATTGATTGGTGTTTTATTTATTTTTTTATGTATGTCTTATGTACAGGTATTCGATATATTTATCAATTCGGAAACAATTTTCATGATTTTATTTTCAATTAAAAGAGTTTACTTGTGTCTTAATGTAATAATTTAGCTAAGAATTGGAGTCGTTTATTGGTTAAAAAATAAAAATGAATTTCTTGCCTATCACAAATTAAAATTTAACAAGGGACGCTTGCTTGTAAATTTTTGTGTGAACCTTAATACAGCGGTACAAGTGAAGATGTATTTGCAATTTGTATATCATAATTAATAATTTTATCTTAATGTCAGTCGATACTGAACTCAGTGGCAATGCCTATTGGTTTCTTCGTTAATTAATTAAAATATTTTAATACAAGCAGACTTTGTGAAATTATCAATATGATTAATTGATATAGGTATATGACCCACGTGGGTCATAGAATATATATTTTATTAATATTTAAGCATATGCCGATGAATATTTACGCATCTCTAAGTAAATTATAACAAACAAAAGAAAAATACAAAATTAAACATTCGTAATATTTTTTTTATGGGTGATAATTGGAATGGTAACCCCACCAGCGCTATCGGTATACACCAGCGGGGCACCAGTGAAGGATGATAGGTGAGGATGAAGTAGGTCAGTTAGCCCATCGTGACGAATTCAACAAGAATTGTTCACGATGGTTTCCAGGGGTAACCACGTGGAGGTCAACCTAATAAGGCATATTGGTAGCAATGGGGCTGTCAAACTCCATTGCTAACAATCCCTTTCCCCCCATTCGTAATATACATTATGTATAAATATATAATATTCTCATTAGTAATATTTGGGTTATTTTTTTTTATTTTTAAATAACTTGAGAACTAATCGCCAGCATAATAATGGGCTAATAACCGTCTTCTCTTACAAGAAGAGACTATAAAATCCAATATCATCATGCTACCAGCTTTTAACTGCCTGAACATAGGCCTCTCCTTATTGGGGTTTTGCCAGTAGTTGGCATGCTTCGTAGGCCGGTTGGCAACCGCAGTTAGGCTTTGCAGATATTTTAAGAGGGACGCTGCTGCCCATCCCTCGCCCTCCCTTAGACGCCTCTTCCGGTACCCATGGGAAAGGAAGGGGTGGCATTACCGGACTTATTCTTACCGGACCACATGGCCAAGTGTCCAATAGTGGAATATTAATTAGTATTATGTATTTGTTAATAACATTATAACTTATGGACATGATTGCTAAGGACATTTTAAAATTACTAATTACTAACAGAAATTAGCAGCGAACTTTAAAAAAAACGGGCGAGCAAAAAGATGACAGAGGACGTAGCGTTACAAGTTTTTCTGTTTCAAATAGCTCGTCTCTTCTTTATAATAACAATGACTTATGATAAAAAATAAATAAATAATGTCACGAAATTGATGATGAGTGATAATGATGATGAGTGTTATTAGGAAATAAATTTATAAATAGTTTGTGTATTGTAATAAAAATAATAGTAAAATATTTTTTTTTCTTTCTTTATTGTAGATAAAAAAAGGCATTGTATCAGAATAACAAATATAATAGTGAAATAGTCTGTAAAAGAGATTTCTTCCAACAAACCTAATATGAGATTAACTGACAGTTTTATTCGTAGTTACAGGCATACCTGTGTTCCAGTCGAGTGTTTTGTGTAAATATATGTGTTACCATAAGTATATATCGTACACTTATATAGACAGTCTCCATAGAAATGCTTCGAGTACGGATCAACTTTTTCATACAATTTTGCATGATAAATAGTTATGAGTGATTCTTTTATAACTTTTATATTTATTTTGTTTTATAATTTCTGCGTTTTTTTAATGCGTAAACACTAATTTTATTTATTAAATAATACGTCAATATACATTTTATGCGTAAGTATATAGAACACTGATAAAAAAAAAAATGAGTCAGCTAATTTGACAATTATCTATTAAAAAATTGACCCGTTTTTGCGGTTCGATGCTCTCTCTATATAATCTAAGATTGTAAAATATTATATCTATGTACTTATTATATACATATGTTTATGCAAATAAAATTATTTTTGACTGTGTTTTGGTTTGTCGGGTGAGATATGACAGTGAATTTACAGAGTAGGGTATCATAGGCGAAACAGTGTACTCTGTTATGTCTGTCTGGAATGGCAACGCATAGGGGGTATCATGAGCGAAACAGTATTATCTGTTATGTACATGTTACTGCTCATGTCTACGGGCGACGGTTACCACTTTCCATCAGGTGGGCCGTCAGCTTGTTTGCCATTTTAAGTTGTATAAAAAAAAGTTGTATATCTTTACAAATGTATAGTAATAGAGGCAATGTGTTTTGGAGAAACTTAAAAAAAATACGTAACTGTGAGTATTATCTAGCAATTAAACTTATAAATAAGTGTACCAATTATAAGAATTAGGTACTATCTTTACACATGTAAATAGTTCTATATCTTTCTAGATTCTGACTTTGTGACTTTGACCTACTTTTTTTATAAGTGTCTTATATAGATAAATGGTATTATTTTTCAAATTACACAGTTGTAAAGCGGTATTGCACCATACGTATCTAATGTGATATCGTGACATATCCTGTATTTATTTATGGCGTTTTCGTCCCATACAAAACGAAAATTACAGGAACTGACGAATTATTTTTTTGTTAGGTATAGGTGTTGGGAATAATCTGTAATTCAAGGTCATAGATGAAGGTTTTTTTTGTATGTGAAATATGTCAGTAATTCGCTACATATTTATAAAGTTGCTTAACGATTGCTATGACTTTGTGTATGTTTTTACGTAACATTTTTTCTAAGGTTCCAATTTAAACTATTAATAAAGATTGCGTTCCAAAAAAAAAAACTACTTCTATTGTTACAAAACCAGTTCAAGTTTTAAATCAAAATATGATTCAAAAACTAACTACTAAACTATTGACCCGACTTTGATAAAATTTGTGTAAAGTATATTTTTGCAGTTTTTTTTTATATACAACTTAGAATGGCAAACAAGCTGACGGCCCACCTGATGAAAAGTGGTAACCGTTGCCTATAGACATGAGCAGTACCATGGACATAACAGAGTATACTGTTTCGCCCATGATACCCGCCATGCGTTGCCATTCCTGAGGACTTAGATGTTATTCCTCTGTACCCTGTAAATTCACGCCATATCCCACCCTTCAAACCGAAACACAGCTATGCAAACACAACTGCTTCACGGTTGAAACACGATTGGGACAGAACTACCCAAGCAATCGACTTTTGTATAGTCTCCTCAGTTTCGACATGATGATGATGATACCGAAACAAATATAAATACAGACAGACGGACAAGATTACTAAAAATATATTTTTTTGGCTTCTATTGTTTTTATTTTTAACTAATGTGGCTGTTATCGTACACTACCCTACAATTGTAATTTTTTATGGTTCCAATAAATACATTTTAATTTAATTTAATTTATTATTCCTACTAAAACCTCTAACAAAGACTTTTTTATGTTTTCTTTGTATAGACATCGTCCAGTAACAATTTTTTTTATTAGGCACTAATAATATTTAGAATAATAAATATGGGTTTTCGTTACTTATGGTATATCACTTGTTTCAAACACTACGAGTAAAATGTATAAATGTTGTCAAGTAATTAGTCAATAGTGAAGCATTACAATTCACTTTATTTTGTGGTATCTTTTCTTATTTAGAGAAAAATCTTCATCTAATGCAAAAATTTCAATAGTTAACAACTCGGATTTTATGAGAAACAATATTCTTAGTGTTTATCGCAGTGTCGGCCCGGCATAGAATAGGCCACCCTTTCCTTTTCCGTGGATGTCGTAATAGGCGACTAAAGAGGGCGAGGGAGGGGCAGCAATACCCCTCTTAAAACATCTTTAAATGCCAAGCGTGGCAACTACTGGCAAAACCCCCCAAGGGGAAGGCTTTTGTTCAGCAGTGGACAGTTAAAGGCTGACATGATGATGATGAGCATTCTTATTGTATAAAGACAGAAAAGATTCATATTGTATAAAAGTCTATATGTATAGATACTTATTTAACGCCTCTACAATTATCCTTTACAAAAATAATTTGTTAAAAAATTTTGATTTTTTTTCAAATTGAAGATGTTTAAGCAGTTATAAAATACAAATATCAACATAATATGGTTATTAATGACCATTATATATATATATATATATATATATATATATATATATATATATATATATATATATATATATATATATATATATATATATATATATATATATATATATATATATACATATAATAAATATGAATATCTAGTATCTTAGTATAGTATATTCGTCTCTTAATACTTACATCTTGGTAAAAATGCAAACAGGATACTCATGAGTGCGCACGTCAAATAAGTAGCCATCAAAGTTTTCTTCCTTCCGTACTTATCCAGCACGATCACGACCACAATATAAGCCGGTATCTCGACCAGCACTACGAGCATGAAGCTTACATATCTGTGGCTACTTAGTGACACAGAATTAATAGACAATCCATAATACACGAGAGAGCACGTCAACCATAGGAATGAACATATCATCAGTCGTTTCCATATTATACTGGAGCGAATCGCTTTCGAGAACTGAGACTTTTTATCGTGCACCTGATTCTTGGGTTTAAGCAGAGGATCCCCCAATGAGTCCAATTCGAGTTTGTGCTGATCGAGGTTGTTGATTTTGGCAGCTCTCTTCAGTACTCTGACTGCTTCGTCTCTTCTGCCTTTGCTTAACAACCATCTGGCGCTCTCGTTCGTGAACCATATATATATAACCACAATGATAGCTGGACAGTATAGAATAAGGATGTACGTCCGCCAGTTGTCAACGAGCCACGCCAGTAGGCCGATCAATACGACACCAATAACAAATGTCATATTGCACATGGCGGATACAATGACGCGTTGTTTCAAACCAACCAATTCAATAACTGAAAAAGAAAATACATTTTTAATATAATACTTAAAGAAAAAAAAACCGACCTGAATTGTAACAAAATTAGTTATACTGATCTAAAAAGTAAACTATTGATTTTGATAAAATGTCTACGGGATCAATCTATATATAAACTTTCAGATAAAAGAATTTTCCAAATCGGTTTACAACTGACGAAGTTATTTATTTATTTATAAAAGACGCACCAACAATATGCTTACAACAATTAAGCAGACAATGTACAATGTTATAAGTAAGTAAAAATGAAAAACATCTCACTCCGCACTACCAAGCATAAGGCTATATGAACACATCAATTAAAGGTGTAGGTGGTGTATACAGCTCTCACAGATAAGCGTCAATGTATACTAAGTAACAATTATACAATTAGAGAAGACCTAACTACCAATCCATATTATTAATAAGTCTAGTAAACTGCACTAAAGAATTACCAAAGATGTTAATATTATGGTCAACATTTACGACTTTATTATACGATGATAACATTCTGTTGAGGGGAGAATTGAACCCTAAGTTAGTACGACAAGCGTATGTTGAAAATATGAGGTAACAAACATAAAAAATACAACCGAATTGAGAATTTACATTTTTTTTTAAGTCGATTGAAAATTATAGTCGATGAAATAAATATATAATATGAAATTAAAATTGTATCAAACTATTAAGGGAGTAAACTTGACCAGAGAGAGACTTTATACAAAAGTCGTCTGCTTGCGTTTCAGCCATAAAGCTGTAAATTATTTGCAAAGCTGTATTTCGGATTGAAGGATGGGATGACGTTAACGTCCGGTTACCGGGTACAGAGGCACGACACCTTAATCCTGGTTACCAATATTTACCCTATCAGGTTTACCTCAACGCGGTTTCCTCTGGAACTGAAATTCCGTGGAATACCTCTCGAATTCCATTTTCACTCATTAAAAATAATAATAATGACGTAAATAAAGTTATATATTAAGATATGAACCGCTTCGGTCTAATTAGGACATAATCAAACGTTACAGCTGCAGTTCTATATAATTATGCAATTCGTGCTAAGGAAAATTAATGCATTATTATGTATTATTTTTACCTACACTTTGTGTGATATTTTTTACTCGGATTTCAGATTAGTATATAATTAAAAATATTTTCATTGTATATATTATATACTAGAAATAAGGAAAAAATATATAAATATTAACATAGAGTAATTGTGAGTAATTTTTTTAGTTTTTTTTTAGTATATATAAATATTTATAATCTTGAAGTTTTCTAGCGATGCATACATAGAATTATGGATACAATTACAGAGTTATAAGAATAAATAATAAATTAGTATTTAATTTTATGATACCAGAATGATAATAAGTACCTATATGTGTTTTTTTTATATAACGCTAATAAGACTGTTTACCTTCTATTATTTTTCCTTACAATATTCATATTTATAATATACACATAATATATAAGAAAGTGAATTTGTATGACTGTTATTTCTCGGTGCATTAACAGCTCAACCATCGTCATCACCATCTCAGCCATTTTCCGTCCACCGATGAATATAGGCCTTAAAAAATGGTACAAAGCCATTTAATGCATGCCAGCAAAGTGCATTTACTGACTCCCTGCAATGCATTTGAGGTCGTCACTTCGTCTAGTAGGGGGTCGTCTTACACTACGATTGCTCCTACGGGGTCATCACTCAAGAACCTTTCATCCATGGCTCAAGCAATTATCATGAAATTTGGTACAGACGAAGTATAAAGAAAGAAGCAATGCGGCTTATAATCTGAATTATTTTAATAAGGACTTCATCTAGTAGGGGGACGTCCTACACTGCGTTTGCCTGTACGGCCGCCACTCAAGAACCTTTTTTCCACGGCTCAACCAATTATTATGAAATTTGGTACAGACGTAGTCAGGAATATAGAGAAAGAAGCTATGCGGCATTTGCGTAGCCCGCGGCTTATAACGTAAATTGTTTTAATAAGGTAAAGGGTACTTACTAAAAACATAAGCTGAAGGATATAGTCCACCACCCAATCCGGCCTCTAAGAAATGTAACGCCACATAAGTTAAATAATTCGGTGAAAACGCTCTAGAGAAACCAAATATAAGACTGGCGAATGATGCGAAACCCACTGCCACTTTTCGACCGAATCTATCAGAGATGGCGCCAGTGAACAACATGGCTAGGAACATTCCAGAATTGTGTATTGTACCGACCAATACTCTCTTCCATTCTTGACAACCTAAATTGAACTGAAAAGTAACAAGGGCTTTAGATTGTTATTTCATTGCAGTGTACATTTACAATTTTAAATAAATCATATTTTTAATTAAATTTAATTATTATTATTTTCAAATTATTTTTCCATGATTCATTTGTTAAATGTGTATGTTAACAAATTTTAAATGTGTTCTATGTTTGTTGTTTATAAATTGTATCAAGATTGGAAACTTATTTTTTTTTGAGACAGACTTTAATAGAACCTGCCATCGACTGTACAAGTATAGTTCTAAGATTCTACTAATAGAATAGAACATTTGAAAAATCCATTGCTGTTCGTCTCCTTTTAGTTTCATACATATTTACGTTTTTTAGTATATGTATATATAATACAATGTGTGCTTACGTAACTTTTAACAATAAAATAATACTGTAATCTTCAGGTATATTTACGTATGAAGGGTATCATGGGTGACACAGTATACTCTGTTGTGTCCATGTTACTGTTCATGTCTATAGGTGATGATTACCATTTTCAATTAGTTTGTTTTTTTTTTTAATGGGTGAAAATGGGATGGTAACCCCGCCTGCGCTAACGGGATACGCTGGCGGGGCACCAGTGAAGAGTGATAGATGAGAATGAAAACAGGCCAGTTAGTCCATCATGATGAATTCATCAGGAATTAACCATGATAGTTTCCAGGGAGAACCGCGAGGAGGTCGACCTTGTTGGGTATATTGCTAGCAATGAGATTCTCAGTCTCCATTACTAACAATCCCTTTCCCCCTCTATTAGTTTGTTTGGCATTTTAAGCTGCGTAAAGAAAAAAGTATTCCTGCGATTTGAGTATTTTCTTTTTTTAAAAAACATTATCGTAAGTTATGTTCTACTCGAAACAAATAATAATTAAATATTTGTTTATATTATTATTATTAGTAGTATTATATTATATATAGTTTTTTTTTATACAACTTAGAATGGCAAAAAAGCTGACGGCCCACCTGATGGAAAGTGGTAACCGTCGCCTATAGACATGAGCAGTACCATGGACATAACAGAGTATACTGTTTCGCCCATGATACCCCCCATGCGTTGCCATTCATGAGGACTCAGGTGTTATTCCTCTCTACCCAGTAAATTCACGCCACATCCCACCCTTCAAACCGAAACACAGCCATGCAAACACAGCTGCTTCACGGTTGAAACACGAATGGGACATAGGTACCCGAGCAATCGACTTTTGTACAAAGTCTCCCTCCACTACTTTTACAACTGTATCTGTTACATAGGTATGCAATATACAAAACGACCTCTCATTTGTAGGAATCGGTACAGTCATTAGTTCTTTGCGGTGAAGTGGCATCACATACGTTCACAAAACATCGTCCTACTTTAGAAGTTGGAACTTTAAAAGTATCTTTATTCACGTACAATTTTAATATAAAAAAATGCTTTGAAAAAAGATATAAAAAATGTTACTTTTTATAATCATATAAAAAGTGCCATAAAATCGATTTTTTGGATATTTCAATCTTTTACTCGTATTTAACTAAGATATACAAAATGTTACTTTATTATAATCATACAAAAAGTGCCATACAGTGCCGTTTGTTACATTTTGAATATTTCAATCTTTTATTTAACTTGAATTTGCATGTGACTCCAAACTTATTTTATTACAATATAGTCATGTTTTTTCATTTAAATAAATTAAACTTAAAACTTATTTTAATTATTTTAAACAAAACTGATTGACTGATTAATTGACTGACAAGTACCATTAAGTATAACTGATCTACTGGCGTAACAAATTTTGACAGCTGTGAATTTGAATTTTTCGCATGTAAATTTTTTTACTCAATATATATATATATATATATATATATATATATATATATTATACAACTTAGAATGGCAAACAAGCTGACGGTTCACCTGATGGAAAGTGGTAACCGTCCCCTATAGACATGAGCAATACCATGGAAATAACAGAGTTTACTGTTTCGTCCATGATACCCTTCATGCGTTGCCATTCCTGAGGACTCAGGTGTTATTCCTCTGTACCCTGTAAATTCACGCCATATCCCACCCTTCAAACCGAAACACAGCCATGCAGACACAACTGCTTCACGGTTAAAAATAAAACAAAAAACAAATAATTATGTAAATAGTACGAAAAATCACGATGAATAATTAACCAAAACATATTAATGTTAAGTGACTTTTCTTCATCAGTTGGGACTAAGTTAGAAATGCGATTAAATCATTGATAAAATGTATCAATAAAATGATAAATGAATTAACGATAAAAATCTTGAATTCTCTTAATCTATTGTATATGTTATTAATGCAAACATGATGTTTTATTAATTTTTTTTTAAGTTATCAAACAAACCTCTTTTACAAACGATCGCCCCTCTTCGTACACAAAGGTTTCACACGGCAGTGTTTTGTTTGTTGAGAAATCTTCTGGTAGACATTGTAAACTCGTGTTATTGACCGGAGCAAATCTTCTGCAGCTCTCTGGTTTATTATTTTGGTCAGACGGTATAGCGTATTGTATCCAAGACGTGTCATTGAACCTCTGCTCACAGCCATAGACTTCACATCTAAAAATTTAAAATATTAGTTTAATAAATACGTAATAAGTAATTAGGATTAGGGACTAGGGATGGGCAGCAACGTTCCTTTAAAACATAACCAAAGTCTAACTGCGGTTGCCAACTCGTCTGCTAAGCGTGGCAACTACTGGCACATCTTTCCAATAGAGGAAGGCCTATGGTCAGCGGTGGATAGTTAATGGCTTATATGGTATGGTAAGTAATTAAGAAATTGCAAACTTATAGTAAATTAGATTATTTCTGCTTCTCAGTTTATACATACACACACACACACACACACACACACACACACACACACACACACACACACACATATATATATATATATATATATATATATATATATATATATATATATATATATATATATATGTATATGTATATATATACGTAATTTATATACAGATTCAGAACAGCTACTTCTATTTGGCCAATTGTTTTTTGTTGTGTTGTAACTGTTAGGATAAGGTTTGTATGAAAAAAAAAAGTTTGAAATATTGTAGAATAGTACATATGTTATTTCTTTTTTTTTATACCACTGAGGTGACAAACAAGCATACGGCTCATTTGATGGCAAGCTATGGTAACTGATACTATGGTAGCTTATGAACGCCAGCAATACCAGGGGCATTAAGAAGCATGTAAAGCCGGGGCAGGTAGCTATTAATAATGAATATATGTATACGAATATAAAACATACAAAGTGTAAAGAGTGTACCGTTACATGTCAATACGTATACATATATAAATATGAATAAGTATTCAAATATTTTGGTAAGCAACAGCTTTTACTGTTTAAATTTAAATTTTGTTCAATTAAAAAACTTTTATTTATAGAAGATTTTCGGAATTAAAAATATATGGTCCCAAGTTACCAATTTAAAATGTAATTGTAAAAAAAATATAGGTTTGGTTTGGCGGCATTGTCACATTTCATCATCAATTCAGCCATTATCTGTCCACTGCTGGATGTAAGCCTCCCCCATAGACCGCCATAAAGAACGGTCCTGAGACACCTGCATCCACTGACTCACTCTATCTAGTTGGGGGTCGTAAGTTTGCCCGTACGCGGTCGCTACCCAAGAACCTTTTTACCCCATCGATTGTCAGTTCTTCGAGCTATGTGACCAGCCCATTGCCACTTCAGCTCGCTTATCCTTCGGGCTATATCGGATATTTTGGTTCTTTTGCGGATATTCTCGTTTCGGATTCTATTACGCAAAGCGACTTCGAGCATAGACTTCTCCATAGTCCGTTGATTGTCACATTTATAAAGGAATAAAAAAACTTAAAAAAATTAACGAACATACATAAAAAATATACAGTAGGATATACATATAATTTCCTCCTTTTTTTAAGTCGGATAAAGAATACATGACAGTTACTTCTTCCCAATACATTTACTGTGTAACTTTAAAGCTCCTCCAGTAGATGTAATAAATAAATAAATAAATAAATTTATGTGGTATTGCTGTATTACGTATATAGTGTAAATATTGAATTAAATATTGTACATAGATAAACTTAATAAATCAATCGATCAAGATAGTACACAACGATTTATTATTACAGTTAGCATCTGTCGTTGTTAAACATAATTATAAGATAAATAATGACCGAATAAAAACCATTAGAGTTATATTTAAACGGATAGGAATTGACAATATATTTACTGTTTACTACATTTTGTCCGTGGCTTCGCTCGCTCTTAAGTTTCACCCCCTTTTTCACAGCCCTTTAGGAGTAAATTCTTCAAAAGCCAATAAACATATTAATTTTTGTTATATATATATATAAAGACAATTAATAAATATAACGATACAGGGGAGAAAGGGATTGTTAGTAATGGAGACTGAGAATCCCATTGCTAGCAATATACCCAACCAGGTCGACCTCCTCGCGGATCTCCCTAGAAACTATCATGGTTAATTCCTGATAAATTCATCATGATAAGCTAACTGGCCGGTTTTCATTCTCATCTATCACCCTCCACTGGTGCTCCGCCAGCGTATCCCGTTAGCGCAGGCGGGGTTATCATACCATTTTCACCCAACAAAAAATATATATATATATATATATATATATATATATATATATATATATATATATATATATATATATATATATATATATATATATATATATATAGTTAGATAAGAAAGGGGAGGATATAACGTGATCATTTAGGTAAACTGTAATAATTTACCTGGTTTATCTCGACGTTTCTATCAGTTTACACCGGTCGTGGTCGCGAGTAAGACCGGTGTCGTATGTTATTTTATTTTATGTAAACGATCGCGTTAATTCCCATGTCTTATAAACCGTAAACCATGCGACGGGAAAGTCTAACCGTTAATATACTTTTTTTTAAATTTACTATAAAACCTATTTATATATGTATTATGATTGTAATTTTTATAAAATAATTTAATAATATTATTAATTTAAATTTATTTTTAAATCACTTTTGCGGCATCTACCCACTTCTATCTATTCTCCTTTACCCAAAGGCTGTCTGTAAGAGATTGCCTGAGTGATAAGGCCGCCTTTTGTACCTTTATGTATATATTTTCAATTTTATGGCCCAAGACTTCACGACACAGGAAATCCTAGTGTGAAGTTTTGGGAACAAATGTAAAATTGAAACATGCATTTTTAGATTTAATAAATATGATTATTATTATTTAATAAATATTATTATTATTCTAATCTGTACTTCCTGCTACTATATTTAAGTTGAATTGTTTATATGTCATTGTTTTTGGTGCAGTAAAGAGTTAAATAAATAAATAAACTCTCACTTACCTATATGTTTGTTCTTGTGCTTCAAAAATGAATCCGCATTCAAAGAAACTACTAAGCAATATCGGATACAACAACAGTACGAAATTCAATAGGTTGTACCGGCCGTACGGCCCGAGACTCTCCAATACTGAGTCTAGATTGATTTCTTTCTTCCCTTCTTCCATGTTTGGCTGACGGTAGACTCTTTTTGTAGATTTATCTGATTCTCTGGCCCGTCAAAGCCCGCTGTGCTCGTGTCCTGGAAGACATTGATATCTAAATTAATAAATTCTAGATGGAGTGTCTTCTTAAAAATGCTTAAACAATAATTTAATGTTGTGTACCATTAAAAAAAACGCCTTCGATTATGGCAACACCAGATATTTTGATTTAAAAACTAAACTACTGAACCGATTTTGATAAAGTTTCCACAGGACTAACCTAACGGTATATAACTGAAGAAGTTATGAGGCAACAAACAAAAAAAAAAAATAGAACCGAATTAAGAACAACCTTCTTTTTTTCTTTTTGAAGTCGAATGAAAACAGTTTAAAATTTTCAAATGGCGCGCCTTTATAATTGTATTAATTTCACAATTGGTGGCATTTATTATACAAAATTATTTTTATTTATTTACGTATTACTCAAAGACCACAAGTTTGGTCTACATTTTTTTTATACAGCTTAGAATGGCAAACAAGCTGACGGCCCACCTGATGGAAAGTGGTAACCGTCGCCTATAGACATGAGCAGTACCATGGAAATAACAGAGTATACTGTTTCGCCCAAGATACCCCCCATGCGTTGCCATTCCTGAGGACTCAGGTGTTATATGAATCAGGTCTAAATGATCCAGCGCTTGAGGAAAAGTGAGGAAAGTGAGATTGAGTAGGCTACTACTCCAATTATAATTATTTAAATTCATATAATGTATTGCTTCGTTAGTTTGTATATTTAAGTATTATATCATTATTAGTATAGTTGCCTAACATAAGTAAATGAATATATTAATAAATAACCGATACTATATTTTGCGTCTTTGGTACGTACTAAAGATTGCACAATTGAATATTCAATATAAAAAACGACTCGCCAACCAACAGTTAGCGGATTGTTTTCTGAGGCGTATATTAACACTTCGTGCTCCATCTAGACGTATGTGATCCAAGATTGGAACTTTTAACTTTGAATTGTGGATCATTAAACGAAACGTTTTACTAAGTGCAATCGAAGAGTTTTAGTGCAGTTTCCGCAAAATGTTTAACTTAAAAGTTCTACCACATTAGAAAGAAGTATTTTTGTAAAATGTTTTTCTTTAAAATGTTTAGATAAGATGTATCAGAAAAATAAATTTGTATTACTCGAGGAAATTGATACAATTGTGTATTGTTTTTGTAAATTATAGATTCATTTACAAAAACAACTTACAATTGTGTCAATAAGATTTTGGTCACAATAACATCGCAAATTACAATTGATATTTTTAGGAGATAAAATTAAGAGAAAAATTTCTATTCACAACTGTACTTTTATTTTAATATTTTATCTTAAACTTGATAGAATGATATCAAGATTTTAAGTTGTATATATGTAAGAACTAGGTATAAAAAATAAATACTTTTTTTGATGGTTTAAAATGAGTAAGCCCGCTTGCACTGTTGATATATCTAACTAGTGGGTAAACTATAATTGTAAGAGAGTTAATATGAAACCTACCCACATTTAACTATAAAGCACTGGGTGGGAAGGGATTGTTAGTAATGTAGAGGTTAGTCCCTGTTGCTATCAAAGTACCATATCCGGTCGACCTCCACGCGGTTAACCCTGGAAACTATTGTGACTAATTTATCATGCAATTCGTTATGATGGGCTAACAGACCTGGCTTTTCATCCTCACTTATCACCTCTCACTGGTACCTCGCCAGTGTAAACCGATAGCGCAGGCGGGGTAACCATGCCATTTTTACCCATTAAAAAAAAGCTATGTAGCACTAAAAGTATTTTAGACACTGCAAATTTGAATGTGTTTATCTTCGATATTATAACGTATTTTATAAATAATTAAGTCAAAGGAAGTTATTTAACTATCCACTGAATTACAGGCTCGGCCTAGTTCGGTGGCTACTAGATCTAACTAAATGTATGTAATTTATTATTCAATAAAGACAGTCATTATTACTGGCGGGGCACCAGTGGGGGATGATAGGCGAGGATGAAAGCAGGTCGGTTAGCTCCTAGTGATGAATTCAACAACCATTAACCACGATAGTTTCCAGAGAATATAGTGTGGAGATTAACCTGATAGGAATGAAACAGTTGGACCCTATTACTTCCCATCCCATTAAGCCCCTTTCCTCCCGGTACTAAGAGAAAATGTATTTCGTAGATGTTTACGTATAAGATAATATCATTAATTCCTTAGTACATCATCTTTAAAAAGTAAGAAATGCCGCAAATTTGATTCTAATTATAAAAACGAGCATCAATTTCAGTTTATCAGTTTGTTACTTTTTTATTATGTCTAAAGACGTGACGGTATGAGCTTGGCCATGCACATATTACGATCAGCAAGAAAATATATTGAACATAATCACTTTAGACTCTAATAATAAAGAAATAAGATTCATTAGTGTTCGGTATTAGTCAACTTTCCGTGGCAGACCGAACATCCGACGCTGACGTGACTTTGCGTCACATTGAATGCTCTGATTATCGCAGACTGCGTGAGGTATAAACCTACAGCGTTATCTTATAGTATATTTTATCATTATATCTAAGATCCTGTAAGATAAATTTCTGTTTCGTAAAAGTATAATCTAGTAAAAATTAAAAATGAGGAAATAATGAAAGGAGATAAGGGGCTTTTCTCTTTAATAGGTAATGATAAATATAATTTAGCTGGAAATAGAAATAAGATTGCTCTCAGTAATAAGACCGCCTCACTGTACTTATACAATTGTATCGTTATATATATATATAATTTTATTTTTTTGTTAGGTGAAAATGGTATAGTAACCCCGCCTGCGCTAACGGGATACGCTGGCGGAGCACCAGTGAAGGGTGATAGATGAGAATGAAAACAGGCCAGTAAGCCCATCACGATGAATTCATCAGGAATTAACCATGATCGTTTCCAGGGAGATCCGCGAGGAGGTCGACCTGGTTGGGTATATTGCTAGCAATGGGATTCTCAGTCTCCATTACTAACAATCCCTTTCTCCCCTGTATCGTTATATTTATTAATTGTCTTGTTTATTTCCTATATTGTATAATGCAAATAAAGTATACTCATTCATTCATTCGTTCATTCAAATAATGAAGAGAGAAAATGGAAAATTAATTTAGCAGTAAGAATTTAATAGATTTGGGTAAATAAATAAAATAGTTGCACAATATTTTTTGATAATCGTCATGATCCGTATTCTCTTCCTGTGGTACTTAATAATATTGGTTAAACAGTAAGTTAGTAGCAGGTTAGAAAATAAATTGCCCTTGTGCTTAGGGATCTACATCATCATCATTTATCATCAACAATTTTTTATACATACTAATTTCTAATAATTATAGAAATTAAAATTAATGTGGAGTACAGGCCACATAAACTTTTTTTTTTGTTATTAGTTATTTTTTATATTATACTAGCGGCCCGTCCCGGCGTCGCACGGATGGACATTTTTACATTTTAAAAAGTGGCCATTAAGGCTGCACACGTGACGGAAGCTTAAAAATGGAGTAACTTCTCCCGTTTTCCCAACGTAACATTTCATGGCACTGCTCCTATTGATCGTAGCGTAATGAAAAGTATGCTATTACCTGCCCAGGAGTATAAAGAATAATTGTACCAAGTTTCGTTAAAATCCGTCGAGTAGTTTTTGTTTCTGTAACGAATATACAAACAGACAGACAGACAGACAAAAATTTTACTGATTGCATTTTTGGCATCAGTATCGATCACTAATCATCCCCTGATAGTTATTTTGGAAATATATTTCATGTACAGAATTGACCTCTCTACAGATTTATTATAAGTATAGATAGATATAGTTTTTATATTATTATTTATCAAACTCAAAATTGATATATCTTTTTATTGTTCCATTTTGGCTCCCCTTCACGGTTTAAGCATTATTGCCAGGTCAACAAAATGTTGCCTGCATTAAAAATCAAATATTAACTCGAACTGACATTGACAGAATTTCGAAACTGAATAAGTTATACAGGGATGGGAATTCTCAGGTAAGCGGTCACCGCGACTCATGAATACTTGCAGTATCAGATGCAGTACTCGCGGGTCCTGACCTACGAGACAGTACTGACCTGAAGGGAAGGGGGATGGGATCGGGTGGTATCCGGGGGCGCCGAGGGACAAGAGGGCCGTTGTATCAATAGGATCAGTAAAGAATCACTTCAAATTCGAGGTAACTTTTGTTTACGTTGCTAAGCATCGTAAAAAACTTTCCTAAGGGCATCTCAGTTAGTTTCAGCACGGTGACCTTGTTTTTTTGTGGTCAGGGTGAGGGGAGGGGGACTAAGACGATATCTGGCCAGACTAGGTTGATTCTACCTCGAGATCCATTACAGTGTCGATTAATTTCTCTGTGATATATCACTTTTCTAATTGGCACACAAGTCGTGTCCCGGTATAGAATAAATAAGCCAACCCTTCTTTTCTGGGGAAAAGGGATTGTTAGCAATGGAGTTTGACAGCCCCATTGCTAGCAATATGCCCTATTAGGTCGACCTCCATGTGGTTTCTCCTGGAAACCATCGTGAACAATTTTTGATGAATTCGCCACGATGGGCCAACTGACCTGCTTCATCCAATCAAAGTTACATTTCCATTATCACCCATTAAAAAAACCCTTTCTTTTCCCTTGTAAGAGGCGATTAAGGGAAGTGAATGCTCTAGGGAGAGGAAGCAGCGTCCTTCTCAAAACATCCCCAAAGGCCTAATTGTGATTGCCAACCTGTCTTCATGCATTGCATAATAACTTAATAGTTGAGGGATAGGTAGCAGTGTTCCTCGTAAAATATCACCAAAGCCTAACTGTGGTTGCTAACCTGCTTGCCAAGCGTGGTAACAACTGGCAAAATTCCCTTTCTAGGAAAGACCTATGTTCAGCTGTGGACAGTCAATAGTTGATTTAAGGATTTGATGATGCAAGGAAGTAGATTGGCTGCGATATACTTTCCACAATATTTTGTGTCCCGGAGTTTTGTTTAGTAATTCCGATATCAAAACATCTTTCGATAACGTGT